ACATTTTTATAACCAAACCTAATTTCTTTGTATAACTAACCAACTAAATCCCCAGCTCAAACTCGAAGAAGTTAAATAAAAATGTATGCAAATTTGTTCCCATAGCAACTGACGTGTCATCCAGGAAGCGGAAGCGCAGTTATTCGACCAAAGTTTGTTTAGACTGTTGGCTAAAAACAGCAAAACTTTAGGCACTTTCCTTGGTTTTTATGAAACGATAGTAACATTAATCGACTTTGTTATAGTTTAAAGTTAAAGTACTAGGCGTGCAGAACAAAAGCAGGTGGTAATGGGGGGAACATCGAGCAAGTTACCGAAAGATCTTCTATCAGAGTATCAGGTGAGAGAGAGACAGGTAGATAGATAGATGAATAGATAGATAGATAGATAGATAGATAGATAATGTCAATTTTAAAAATATATATATATGTAATATTATTTAAATATGTTTGTAAATATGTTTATTTATTGGACATTTATTCTTTATACTATATAGCGATGAGTTGCTTTTATTTGTTTATAATTGTTCATTGTTGCTTACACAGGAGCTCACATTTCTCACAAAGCAAGAAATCTTAATGTAAGTGAAGTCACGATGTACTTACACTTGTGCACACGTTGCATTTTCTGTTATGCTTTGCTGCTTTCAGTGTAGCTAAGTTTTAATTGTGAATATTGACTGTACAGTTTAGTTTGTTTCTTATTGTTTTGTATTCAGGTGAGGAATAGCGATAAAACTTGACAGGCTGATTTATTGCAGGGTTATTTTTATTATTTATAGTATAGTATTTATCAATACTTTGAATTAGCTTATTATATTTTTCATTATACTTTTAGTCGAATATTTCTGTTTAACGTAATTTTTCTAGTATCTGTAGTACTTAATATATTTGCAGTTCAACATTTTAAATAATTCTATTTAGCTCTAATTTATTTTTATTTCAATTTTAGTGCTGTAGTATTTATTTGTAGTTCAACATTTTAAATAATTCTATTTAGCTCTAATTTATTTTTATTTCAATTTTAGTGTTGTTAATTGTAGTACTTCAACTTATTTTATTTGCCAATACAACATTTCTAATTTTCCTTTCAATTTTTTCATCTAACATTAATAATTTATTTTAGCTTCATTTCAGTTACCAACCATTTTTTTTTTTCAAATATTATTTTTATTATTGCCTTTTCACACGTACATCATCTCAACCATGGTACATTTTGTCTTGGCATTCCCTGTAAAGTGAATTTGTCGTTGTGACGATAGCTAAACTACACAAATGTGCAGTAGTTTAGTTACTGAAACTGTATTATTACCTAATACTTAAAAAATGTTTGAATGTCATTACATTATAGACTTTTGGGGCTCATCATCAATGTGTTTGTTTAGGGCACACAAAATATTCTCTGAGCTGCAGGACAGAGAAAATGGACTGTACAGCTCCAGGGTGTCCATGGAGAAGATCCTCACTCTTCCTGAACTGAAGGTAACAGATAAACGGACCTATTATACACCCGGCGCAATGCGGCATGGCGCAAGTGGTTTTTGCTAGTTTCAGCCCGACGCAGTTATCATTTTCAAGTCCTGTGCCACGTTGTTTAAATGGCAAATGCATTTGTGCCCATTTGTGCGCTCGTGGGCGTGCTGGTCTGAAAACCAGGTGTGTTCAGACGCATTGTTGGCTTATTGCTATTTTGAGGCAAATGAAATAGACTGCGCCATTGACCAACTGAAACCTGGTCTAAAGTCAATGGTGCAATATATATATTTTTTGTTAATTAAAGAGCGCATTATGCACCTATAGGTGGGTCCACAACTGCTTAGTACACACACAGGGAAGCGCAGCAGCACACAAATATGCCAAATATTACAAATGAAAGGATTACAATGTAAAAGATTATTATTGTGTATAATTGTCGATTCCTCGATCCGCTTCGAGCAGATCCGTTTCCTCTCTGGAGACGCGTTCAGTCTTTGCGCTTGCAAATTCAGCTGTGTAAATAGCGAATCCGCCATGGTGCAAGCGCAACTGGCTTTTAGAGGGAATGGGAGATGAGACTGATTGGTTTATTGCACGTTATGCCTATTATACACCCGGCGCAATGCGGCATGGCGCAAGTGGTTTTTGCTAGTTTCAGCCCGACGCAGTTATCATTTTCAAGTCCTGTGCCACGTTGTTTAAATGGCAAATGCATTTGTGCCCATTTGTGCGCTCGTGGGCGTGCTGGTCTGAAAACCAGGTGTGTTCAGACGCATTGTTGGCTTATTGCTATTTTGAGGCAAATGAAATAGACTGCGCCATTGACCAACTGAAACCTGGTCTAAAGTCAATGGTGCAATATATATATTTTTTGTTAATTAAAGAGCGCATTATGCACCTATAGGTGGGTCCACAACTGCTTAGTACACACACAGGGAAGCGCAGCAGCACACAAATATGCCAAATATTACAAATGAAAGGATTACAATGTAAAAGATTATTATTGTGTATAATTGTCGATTCCTCGATCCGCTTCGAGCAGATCCGTTTCCTCTCTGGAGACGCGTTCAGTCTTTGCGCTTGCAAATTCAGCTGTGTAAATAGCGAATCCGCCATGGTGCAAGCGCAACTGGCTTTTAGAGGGAATGGGAGATGAGACTGATTGGTTTATTGCACGTTATGCCCAAAACACACCCATGACTCATCAAGAGAATAGGTGCAACCCTTTTTAGACCATGCGCCTGGTGCGCCGGCCATTTTTTCCCATGGTTAAACTAGCAAACGTGGATTTGGACACGCCCTAAGTGCACCTACGCCATGCGCTTAGATTGTTAAAATAGAGCCCGAAGTCTGTACTGCAGTCACAATGCAAAAACCCTACTGTTTCTGTCAATTTTCTTTAAGCAAAATATCTTCTAATCCTTCCAGATTCAGCCATTCAGCTGTATATATTCTGACTATATTCTGTGTTTTTGTTGGCTGTCACAGTCTAACCCCTTCCGGAAAAGGATATGTCACGTCTTCTCGACCTCTGACATGAAGGATGGCAGCTTGAGCTTTGAGGATTTCCTGGACCTCTTGAGTGCCTTCAGCGATTCAGCGACCCTGGAAATCAAATCCCACTACGCTTTCCGAATCTTTGGTAGTGGATGGATTGTACTCAATATTGACGTTTAACACAACAGCAATATCAGACAGCACTCGTTATTAACACTTCTTATGCTGCAGACTTTGACGATGACGGGACTCTTGATGCTAGAGACCTGGAGAAGCTGGTGAACTCTCTGACTGGCGAGACGGATGACACCCGTCTGACGGGAGAGGAGATGAGACAGCTCATAAGCAATGTGAGTGTGCTGGATATACATCACATCAATGAGAGACATCTGCCAGATGAACTTTACTAATGTAAACACATGTAATTGTGCAGATCCTGGAGGAGTCAGACATTGATAAGGACGGCACAGTCAATCTCTCAGAATTTCAGCATGTCATCTCCAGATCTCCAGATTTTGTCAGGTGACAGAATTTTGCTTTTTATTTAAAAAGTGACATGTATTTGACATATATTTTGCTGCCTTCAGTCTAATTAAGTTTCACTTGTGAATGTTTACTTTACAGTTTAGTTTTTTCATATTATTTATTGAACAGTTGAGGAATGGCGATGAAGCTTTATGTGTGTGTTTATTTTTCATATTAGTTTAAGTAATTTTGTTGAATGTTATTAGTTTTTATGTTATATTAGTTTTCTATATAGCTTTTAGAAATGTAATTATTAAATGATTGAATTATTTTTATTTCAGTGTTAGTAAGTGTAGTATTTCAACTTGATAGCTTGACAAATTTAGCCAACTAATATA